GGGGCCCCTCAGGGGTGCGTGCTCAGTCCCCTCCTGTACTCCCTGTTCACCCATGACTGCATGGCCAGGCACGACTCCAACACCATCATTAAGTTTGCCGACGACACAACAGTGGTAGGCCTGATCACCAACAACGATGAGACAGCCTATAGGGAGGAGGTCAGAGACCTGGCCATGTGGTGCCAGGATAACAACCTCTCCCTCAACGTGACCAAGACAAAGGAGATGATTGTGGACTACAGGAAAAAAAAAGAGGACTGAGCACGCCCCCATTCTCATCGACAGGGCTGTAGTGGAACAGGTTGAGAGCTTCAAGTTCCTTGGTGTCCACATCACCAACGAACTATCATGGTCCAAACACACCAAGACAGTCGTGAAGAGGGCACGACAAAGCCTATTCCCCCTCAGGAGACTGAAAAGATTCGGCATGGGTCCTCAGATCCAAATTCTACAGCTGCACCATCGAGAGCATCCTGACTGGTTGCATCACCGCCTGGTATGGCAACTGCTTGGCCTTCTACCGCAAGGCACTACAGAGGGTAGTGCGTACGGCCCAGTACATCACTGGGGCCAAGCTTCCTGCCATCCAAGACCTCTATACCAGGCGGTGTCAGAGGAAGGCCCTCAAAATTGTCAAAGACTCCAGCCATCCTAGTCATAGACTGTTCTCTCTGCTACCGCACGGCAAGCAGTACCGGAGTGCCAAGTCTAGGTCCAAAAGACTTCTCAACAGCTCCTACCCCCAAGCCATAAGACTCCTGAACAGCTAATCATGGCTACCCGGACTATTTGCACGGCCCCCCCACCCCATCTTTTTACGCTGCTGCTACTCTGTTAATTATTTATGCATAGTCACTTTAACTCTACCCACATGTACATATTACTTCAACTACATCAACTAGCCGGTGCCCCCGCACATTGACTCTGCACCGGTACCCCCCTGTATATATAGCTTCCCTACTGTTATTTTATTTTACTTCTGCTCTTTTTTTCTCAACACTTTTTTGTTGTTGTTTTATTTTACTTGTTTATTAAAAAATAAATGCACTGTTGGTTAAGGGCTGTTAGTAAGCATTTCACTGTAATGTCTGCACCTGTTGTATGTGGCCAATAACATTTGATTTGATTTGATTTGATTTGAGAGAACATTATTTTAAAATCGCGAACCCTGATCCAAACGACTCGACTGCCCCAGCATGGAGAGAAAGAGAACTGCTCATTTTTAGCCAATGACGAGGCTCATTTGAATTTCCTGATGCAAAATTCTCCACAAACAAAGTTAAGATCCGACATCTGTAGATCAAGTCACCAAAAGTGCAAACATTTAGTATGCATGAAAAGGGTTCACCCTTATGGTCATTGTAAAGCAATGCATTTCCTTCTCCATCTATCAGATTAGAAGTAACATTTATAGTATTAATGGTAAAGAAATACGTTTTCAATATAGGTGTGCATCTACATTCAATGCACAGTAGAGTATAATTCCCAGCAAAACATAGAGAAGCTACACAATAGCACCTAAAAATCTAAAACTCATACTTTACCTTTTTTGCATTCCGAAGCTGCCTCTATTGCATTTAAAAATCCTTTACAAGTGAAAATACATGAATAGATGAGCACCCACAGATATGATATGATAGACAGGATAATCATATCACTTTCCCTATAAAAAAAAAAAAGAGCACTGTTGTCTGTGAACCTGTAGAGCGGGGATGTAAGACTGTATGAAAACCACTGGGGTGTTGAAATCTCACTTATACTCTGTGACATAGATATGTGATGTGGTGCTGTTCAGCTGTACCATGTGCATGTTTAACATACAGTGATGAATCATATGATTTCCTGTGCACTCTTTAGCTATCCCTGCCCCAAGAGTGGTATATAAATTATCATTATCATTCTTTTCAACTGAAAATCCTCTGTCATTCAAGGTATATTATATCTCCTTCATGTAACACCCAAATATACTGATCACTTCCACTCATATTAATGCTGTTTTCTTTTATGTTTCTGAGAGGTACAATAGGTAGTTCATGCCATGTGTAGTAAACCCCAGAGTAACTCCCACCTTCTCCTAGGCTTAATGTGTAAAGCGTTCAAGATTCAAGATTAGTTGAGATGTTGAAATAGAATGTATTGTGTTTTACCGACAACATAATATATTGATTTTGCAGATAATACATTATTTTATTGTTCTTGCATAGTACATCACCACCTCCTACTATGTTAACTTCTCATTAGGCCCACTTAAAGGGATCTCATATATTGTTTTGTGATGACTCATGGTTGTTCACTATTCTATATTATATGTGCTATAGTTGACATTTTGGCAAGAAAAACAACCAGAAACATTGCACCTTTATAAATCTATTTTACATAATTTCCTCTCATACCCTCTGCAAAACACTCCGTGACGATTCCACTGCATGGTGATGTAGGCATTGAGCAAGATGACTATCTGCATGGGGTTTCTAAGTATTCTATACCACATCTAACAGACTCATGGAGAGACAAATACGTTTTTTCACACAGAAGTACTGTGCTATCCTCATTGTGTTAAAGTCATGGGCTGATCAAAGCAATAGATCTTGAGTGCCGATAATACAACGCATAAATAATGCTACTGAGTGTTATCTGCTATGACTACAAGGGAGAGACGTTCACATCTATTTCAACATTGTTTCATGGTGATATGATGTTCTTTATGATGAGGCTCTGAAATTAAAAATATATACAGTATGTCCCAGGAGAGGTGGAGTAGCTTATGTCAGAAAGTTATTATTATTATTACCAAAGATTTTGGAAAAGTTATTACAAGGGGTTAAATTGGGAACTCGGAGGTGGGAGAGCCCTATTTGCAGGTGTTAGGGTAAGGGTTAAGACAGGAATTAACATAAAGCTAGGGTAAAGGTTATGCCAAGATTAGTGTTGTGGCTAGGGTTAGGGTTCAACCTGGGTGTGGACATGGATCTAGGGTTCGGGTTATGGCTAGGGTTACTGCTGTAGGTAAATGGTAATACCATTTTAGGTTAGTATTTTTAGCCTACTTTCTATCCTACTCCTCTTTGGACGTGTAAGGTGCTAAATTGGCTCCGCCTGGCTCTCTCTTTGACCCAAGGTGGTTATTACCATAATTCTGTTAGAGCTCAGGGTGAACGGGTTGGATATGGCCCTGCACATTTCATCACCATGTAACACCTAAGCAAGCCCTGTTTATATTTTTCCCTAATTGTTGTATACATTTCTTTATTTTTTAAAGACAACGAGGAGATGGCATCTGCGGAAATAAACGTCTGGGACTTTGGGCCTATTAACGGAAACTGTTTAAACATATGTTTTGCCAGTACGAAGTTCAGGCAGTGTCGGTGCTTTGATTGCTATTACAGATGAAAAAATCTTGCTAATCTGCAAGATAGGTTACAACCACGCCACTTCCTCTGGGGAGGGAAAACACTCACCCATTTTTGGGTTTCCTCTCCCTATCATCTGCCAGCCATTGTTACATTTATGATGTTAATCTACGATTAGCAGCAGATAGAGCACACATATGCAATCAATCAACCATCCGTACAGGAAAATCTCAAATAAAACATGGCACCAAAACATAGAGAATTGTAATTTTGTGGTTTAACATCTTAATTGCTCACCTCAAAGCTACACATTAAATGAAATGAACAAAAAGTAGGAACAGAGGAGTGGGCCTATGCATATACCCTTGTATCTGCGAGCTGTTGGCTAGAGTGCACATGCCAAGACCAGAGTAGGCACAGTTACTATTTAACGCAACAGTTTTTGTGACAAAACGATTGGTAGAGTTGAAAATGAGATTCGGTACATGAAAACTTAAGCAAAACATTTAATTTTGTGTGATTATTATCCACAAGTCCGTTTGGTGGAAATACACCACTTGTGGGAAAATGTGCATATTTTCTATATGCATAATTTAGAATATTCGCATGAAAATCTGTTCGTCAATTGATGGAAACCTAGCTATTGGTGGGAAAATGCACATATTTTCTTTATGCGGATTTTAGCTACTAACCAGGTTTCCATCAAACTTTTTTATGTGAGTAAAGTACATGTCAGACAAAAAATGTCATGACAGGCCTGATGGAAACAGTAAAAATGTAGGTACACTTTCCAAATGTCACAAAACAAAATAAGCTAGACAAGGTGGGACCTTTTTGTGTCTGTAAAATGTATTATGCGAGAAGTGTCGGTGGAAAGGTTTTTATGCGCAAATATTGATATAATTTTTTGGGGGGTGGGGTAAGGGGGGGGTAGAATAATGACTTTATCCTATCCCAGGTATTCCTTAAAGAGGTGGGGTTTCAAGTATCATGCAGGCTATACCTGCACCACAGGAGGTTGGTGGCAGTTTAATTGGGGAGAAGGGCTTGTGGTAATGACGGCTTGTGGTAATGGCTGGAGCGGAATAGTGGAATTACATTTTTACATTGTAGTCATTTAGCAGACGCTCTTATCCAGAGCGACTTACAGTATCAAAAACATCAAACACATGGTTTCCATGTGTTTGATGCCATTCCATTTGCTCTGTTCCAGCCAATATCATGAGCCGTCCTCCCCTCAGCAGCCTCCACTGACCTGCACTGTATCTGCAAGCTGTTGGCTAGAGCACACGTTGGCACACTCCCTATATAACAAACATTTAAAAAAATATATGAGAAAACCATCAATAGAGTTGAAAATGCAATGGAACCCCATTTAACTTGTATTTTTTAATCACAAAAGGTATTTTTATGTGCACTTCGTCATCACAACAAGTACATTTCATGAAACACATCTCATTTCGTTTTTATGCGGATTTTAGAATATTCGCTTGAAAACCTGTTACCAATTGGATGGAAACCTTAGCTAATGACTGTAAAAAGTGTTGCTCCCGATTGGTGGGTGTGGCTTGAAGTGACGTGTTTAAAGGGTAGTGACCATGCCATGCGTTACGTACAATTGAACGTTCAAGAACGTAAAAACGTAACGAACGCAGCCCTGGTTCAGGATAGCTAAAGGAACCAGAGTGCCTAGCTAGCAGTATTTGAGGAGACAAAACAGTCATACTTTTATCTACATAGCTAGTGCCCGTGAATATTTCAATATGTCATGTTAGATTCTTATTATTGAGTTTGACTGAAACAGAAGTTCGATACTGAAATTTAAGCCACGGCAAGTTAGCTAACGCTGCTATCTAGTAGTAGTGTCAACAAACTGCAAGTGACTTTACGTTAACGGGTTCAAGTAACCCTGCCCAAAAGCGCGATGCTGGTAACCGTTTTCTGCTGCCCTAATGACCGTTCGGAAATTACATTTGCTCTCGATGTGTCTCCAGAGCTTGAACTCAGAGATTTTGTTGCTCTGTGTGAACTAGAATCAGGAATCCCTGCTGGTGAAATTCAGGTGAACTACTAGCTAGTTAGCTTAGCATAAACGTGTTAGCAGCTAAGTTAGCTAGCTACATCTCTCATTGTTTTTTATATCAGCTAATTCATAAAAAATAAAATATTGACATACTTGACAGAACTAGCTAGACGTACTCAATAAACAGTCATAATTAACTTTGTAATTGGTCGCTAGCTAGCTAACATTAGTTTACTTAACTACTGACGTAGTTAGCTAGTTAAGCTAGCCATCTTGCTAGCTAGTAAACTGAGCTAGCATAGCATGTGTCAACCGTCAGAGAACAGAACAACAACTTCTACTGACTTATGTAACGTTACCTGGCTAGCTGTGCATTGGTTTGCTTGTCACGTTTTGATTAACAACCTAACTAACAAATTAAGCTGATTTGGCCACCAGGCAGCATTTTAATTTGTCATTTTACTTTTCCTCAAGTGTGAAAAGGGAACGCATTGTTTTTCATCCTGTGGCCCTTCCCCCTCTCCAGATCACATATGCAGAGCAGCCCCTGAAAGACCTGACCCGTGCTTTAGGGACCTATGGTCTGAAGGATGGGGATGTGGTGGTGCTCAGACAGGTAGAAAGACGGCAACCGCCAGCACAACAAGTATTCCCAGGTAAAGTTAGTACCAGTGGGCGAGACAGAACAAGTGAGAAATCTACAGTCTTAACCCTGCACTAAAGCGCTTCATTCGGTTGGTTCTATTGTTCCTCAGTCAGTAATGGCTTTCCATTTTATTAGCTCATCCCAAATGTCTACCTGGCATAATGTCACTCAACCCTCTGTCATGCTTACACTCTCTCTCCTACCCTCCCTGTCTCCCCTCTCTCTCCTCCAGGACTGCCCCGTATTGACTTCAGTTCCATCGCAGTCCCCGGCACCTCTTCTGGTTCCAGTCAACGGTCCACCCATAGACAGCAGCAACAGGCCCCGACCCCACAGCAGCAGCGCCCTCCACCCCCTGCTGCGCCCCCATCCCTACTGAGCTCCACCACCTCTCCTCAGGGTCTGGATGACCCTGCCTTACTGCAGCAGATGCTCTTAGCCAATCCACACGAACTGTCGCTGCTCAAGGAGCGCAATCCGCCATTGGCTGAGGCCCTGTTGAGTGGAGACCTGGGTGAGTAGAAGTGGTGTTAGCGGGATAGCATCAACCCCTATCTCTGAGTTGAATATCTTGTCATTATAACAGCTTTTGTTAGGTATCAACACGACTAATGGGTCTTAAGTGTTCAACTAGGAGCTCTAACTATGTTTCTGACTGCCTCCCGTCCCATAGAGCGTTTCACCAAAGTGCTGTTGGAGCAGCAGCAGGATCGAGCTCGCAGAGAGCAGGAGAGGATCCGGCTTCTGACTGCCGACCCATTTGACATGGATGCCCAGGCCAAGATAGAAGAGGACATCAGGTACACACACCTACTGTCACACTGCCAAGAGGGGAAAGGGTTTGGGTTGGAGTCAAAGACTGCTTTAGTCAAGGTCTCTTCTGAAAACAATTAAAAACGTGCTAGTTTACGTATTGAGTTATGCCCTCTGTCTGAACTATTTGAGAGTATAAGTATCCATGTACATGTGCTTCAATACATAATCAAACACCATTTGTACTTCAGGCAGCACAACGTTGAGGAGAACATGACCATTGCGATGGAGGAGGCCCCAGAGAGCTTTGGCCAGGTGGTTATGCTCTACATCGACTGTATAGTCAACGGGTACCATGTGAAGGCTTTTGTTGACTCAGGTATTGTATCCTATTATTTTCTTCCTCAGTGCAAAAGCATAGGCATGTTTGACTAGGGCAGTAGGGAGACTCTTCAGTTAAGGGTTTGTCTGTTTTGTGGTGTCCTGTATAGTGTGCCTTGGCTAATTTTGACATGGCTTTGCTCTCATGATGGTATTTCCACTACTATTCAGTCTGCCATATTTCACAATTGTCTGTATTTTACCGCCCAGCTGTAAATGTTCTCTGCTCCTCCCTCCTGTTTTCATTATTTCATCCACCTGCATATATTCTCTACATTTTCTTGATAAAAAAATAAATAATCTTACAACTTGCTTGGCCGTACTTCATACACCCCCCCCCCCCCATCTTTTCTTGCCTGCCCTTCCCTACTTCTCTATCCCCCTTTCATTGTCTTTGTTCAGCTCCTCTCACCCCTCTCTCTCTCCCGTTGCCTGCTTCCCCTCTGCCAGGTGCCCAGATGACCATCATGAGTCAGGCGTGTGCCAAGCGCTGTAACATCATGCGCCTGGTGGACCGACGCTGGGCCGGCATCGCCAAGGGAGTGGGCACTCAGAAGATCATTGGCAGAGTCCACTTGGGTGGGTATCAATCATGTCTCGAAGAGAACCACTTTCTTAAGGATGCACAACATGGCGTTCCTCTAGAGTAGAGGCACATGAGATGTTTTCCTGGTTTTATCAAATTTGTCAAAAGCAAAGGTATCCAAACATGGTGTGTTTCCCTACCCAGCTCAGGTCCAGATAGAAGGGGACTTCCTGCCTTGCTCCTTCTCCATCCTGGAGGACCAGCCTATGGACATGCTGCTTGGACTGGACATGCTCAAGAGACATCAGGTCAGATCCCTGTCCCTCCAAATCTATGCACACTAACTACCACACAATGACATCCTTTTAAAAAGTAGGTCTTTAAAAAAAATACTAATTAATATCTGTTGACTGTTCTCTCTATATCCTGCTACCTCAGTGTTCTATTGACCTGAAGAAGAACACGCTACTGATCGGGACGACGGGCACTGAGACCCGCTTCCTGCCCGAGGCGGAGCTGCCAGAGTGTGCCCGACTGGCATACGGGCCGGAGGGCCGTGAGGACTCCCAGCCAGACGAGATCGCAGACAGAGAGCTTGCGGAGGCACTTCAGAGATCTGTTCAGGAGAGTGGTAAGGAACACGGTCTGGGAGAGAGGGCTATGGAGATTCCTCACCTCTCTGTCTGCACACTCTAAAGCAGTGGACATTTTTGCAGCGCAGCATTGACATGAGCCAGAAAGCACATTTGCATGGGTATTTTTTAGCTGCTTACTCCTGAGCCCTGTTTCTGCAGTCATCTGCGTTCTCAGTCACATATATCACTGCATTTCATCACCTCAGCCAGTGAAAATAAGCTTTATAATCAGCAGGGTTCTTGCCGTCATTAAAATCTTTTGTCATGGCTTTTTAAAATGGTGTTTTCCAGGCCTGGAAAAGTTTTGGAAAATGGTAGAATCTTAAAAGTTTTTCATGGATATTAATTTGATAATTTCTGTTTTATGTAATTTATTTAGGCACAGTTCTTAAATATTTTATCAATCAAATGCAAATCAACATATCAGCCAGGATCGTCTGTGTTTGCGCGTATCACCTGCATGTGTGCGAGACGAGTGTGCCGTTACTCAAGGAGAGGGAGGCAGTCGGACATTGCAGCAGCAGGTAGGCCTATGTAGCCTATAAAATATAATAGAGAACAGACCAATAACTAGGTGGCCAATTCAAAACATATCTTGTACCCTCAAGTTAACTGTTTAGCTACACTGAACAAAAATATAAACACAACATTCAACAATTTTAAAGATTTTATTGAGTTACCATTCATATAAGGAAATCAGGCAATTGAAATAAATTCATTAGGCCCAAATCTATGGATTTGACATGACTGGGAATACAGATATGCATCTGTTGGTCACAGATAAAGGTAGGGGTGTGGTGTGTGAACCATTTGCCTCATGCAGCGCGACACCTTTGCATAGTTGATCAGGCTGTTGATTGTGGCCTGTGGAATGTTGTCCCACTCTTCAATGGGTGTGCGAAGTTGCTGAATATTAGCGGGAACTGGAACACGCTGTCGTACACGTCAGTCCAGAGCATCCCAAACATGCTCAATGGGTGACGTGTCTGGTGTATATGCAGGACATGGAAGAACTGGGACATTTTCAGCTTCCAAGAATTGTGTACAGATCCTTGTGACATGGGGCCATGCATTATTATGCTGAAACATGAGGTGATGGAGGCGGATGAATGGCACGACAATGGGCCTCAGGATCTCGTCACGGTATCTCTGTGCATTCAAATTGCCTTCGATAAAATGGAATTGTGTTCGTTGTCTGTAGCTTATGCCTGCCCATACCATAACCCCACCGCCACCATGGGGCACTCAGTTCACAACGTTGACATCAGCAAACTGCTCGCCCACACAATGCCATACACGCTGTTTACCATCTGCCCGGTTCAGTTGAAACCGGGATTCATCCGAGAAGAGCACACTTCTCCAGCGTGCCAGTGGTCATTGAAGGTGAGCTTTTGCCCACTGAAGTCAATTATGATGCTTTTTGTGCATATGGACAGTTTCTGGGATCTTTTATTTCAGCTCATGAAACATGGGACCAGCACTTTACATGTTCTGTTTCTTTTTGTTCAGTATAGAAAAGGTACATTTCCTGAAAATGTGTTTGCTTCCTTCCTTCAGCTGATTAGCCTACCATAGCCATTTGATCTTTGATATATTGAATGAGCTAATTATTTTAAGTCATTAAATGTATTTAGTTGCAATGTTATACATCAAGGTTGGTCAACTATCCTCCAGGAGCGCTAATGAGAGTGCAGGCTTTTATTCCAGTCCCCCTCTAACAAACCACATTTTAGAAATTAGCTGCTTAACTGGACCTTGATAAACTGGCTCTGATGTTTGAGCAGGGCTTGATCAAAAGCCTGCACACCCAGTAGCTCTCCAGACAGATTTGATCACGTGTTTTATACAGTTGCCTAATGGGTGTTCTACTTTGTGGGGGGGTTAAGTGCCCTGCACAGCGACAGAGAGCAGTCTCCCAGTGTCAATAACACACTACATTTGCTTTTTTTAAAAATTTATTAGAGACGCTGCCAATTGTTGGTCATGGAAATTTGGTTAGAAAAGTTATGAAATTCCATCTGTCAATGTGTATGAACCCTGAATCAGACTATGTATGAAATTAGTTTAACACCCAGTTTTGGGTTTACATTAAGGCTAGTTACAGTAGTATTTAAAAAGTATTGGAAGTTGCAGTGATGAGACAATTGGGGCGAAAAAGGGGGTAAAAAATCAAATGGAAAAGTATTGGAAGTTTGGTTCTGTAAATGTATTTGGTTTAATAGTTCTCTAACTAAGTTCAAAATACACTGAAGTCCCTCTGCGGCCCAGTTTAGATCATGGAGGGTCATGTGATCACTCTGGGACCTCTCTGGGGTCATAGGTCAAATAAAGTTATCTTGGCTAACACTCTTCACCACTACGTGAACAGTCTGACAGTGTGGCGCATGCTTTGTGTGCGAGTGCTAACTCTGCGTCCCTTTGCATGATGTGTGGTGTGTGGCCTAACCATGAGCAGGACAGCACTGATGCATTTGGAGAGACAGCTGGAGACGATCCTACCAACCAGGTACTGCAAACTTAGAGAGAATCAATGCTAAGGCCGTCACCTATATTATTATTATTATTATTATTATTATTATTGGGGATTTCGTAGCAAAATCAGTTTTGCTTATTGAAAAACCAATGATAAAGATTGTGTGATAATATACAACATTTTTGTTGATAAATAGTCAATTGTATTTACCATGTTTTCCCACTTATTTTAAAAAGTAGAAGATGCAATCACTGATTTAAGGTCTCTGCATTTCATGTTTCATTTCAGAAGCTGGCATGGACAAAAACAATGCATGTTGTGTGTTTTGGTCCGTAGCAGGTTTCAATTGTTGCACACTACTGTTTAATTATCTTAACTGATCTCTACCATCAGATACTGCAGATGGACAAACTACCTCACCGGAGTCCCCACCATTCCCAACGCCCCAACCCCTGAACAACATGCCCCTGTTCCCTTCCCCCGGCCTTGTCCTGGACCGCTCCCAGTCTGCTCCAGCCTACATGCGCCAGGCTGGGGCCCTAACACCAGGACAGAGCCAGAGCCAAACAGGGCCTGGCTTCCAGGGTCTCCCCATCCCTGGACCCTCAACCCAGGCCCAGAACACAGCCCAACAGTCTCCTCTCTCAGCACCAAGCCCTACCAACCCCACCCAACCCCTCCTATCCACCATCCCCACTCCACCGGCTCAGGATCTGTCCACATGCTCTCCTCCTGCAGACAAGATGGTGACTGGGACTCCCACCTTGGAAGGTTCAGCCAGTCCGATCCCTTCAGCCACAGAGATTGGGCGTGCCTCTGAGAAGGCAGAGAACAGCTCCCTGTTCCCCCACCCAGAGGAAAGCCTTCCCACTCAGCCCATGGAGCAGGAGGAGGACATGTCAGACACCATTACAGATCACCGGACCTGTCCGAGTATCCCAAGTCAGCAGAGTGAAGAGGGGGAAGGGGTCTCCCAATATCCCCACCAGCCCATCTCTAATCCCCCATCATTCACCCTAAAACCCTGTCCTTTTGGATCCACCTCTACAGAGATGGAGTCTCCCCATGCCTCCTCCCAGAACACTGTGCCATCAGAGAGGGACCAGCCAGAGGGGAAGCGCTGTTCCTACTCAGACCAGATCCCATCTCTGGCCCAGGCCCTGCTGGAGCTCCATGAGCTGCTGGTGTCTAACAGCAGTGGCCTGTCCCCTCAGGACGGCAGTGCCTCCTCCTCCCCCTCACACAGACAGAACGCTGACGGACTGGACGACAACTACAACCCCACCGCAGAGCCCCGACTCCTTACACCTGAAAACACCACCCAACCCTCCCCCTCTACTGCCATTACAGCTGATGCAGAACCATGCAATGCCAAAGCCAACCATGCTGCTGCTGTGTCTGACAGAGGGCCTCCTCCTGACTGTGTCCTGCCAGGCTCCTCTGACCAGGAGCAGAGCCTGGAGACCAGGAACGGGACCCAGGCTGAACCAGGAGAGGGACAGAGGGAGCCAGAACCACAGTGTCCAAACAGCTCCTGGGGGGAAAGGAGGGCAGACTGGTATGGGCTAGATACCAGTAAAAGCAAAGGGACTGTATCTGAGGCCAAAGGCCCCTCTCCCTCTTCACTCCAAGCAGACCTGGCGTTCAGGGAGCCCCCTGAGGGGCAGCAGGGGAGGGGTGTGGCAGACGGGAGAGCCTCTGGCAATGACAACCCAAGCACTCTCGGCCTCCAACCTGAGACAACACAGCAGAGCCCCCTGTCCATGGCTGTGGGCTCACCTGGGGAGGACGCTGGCGTTTCGCCCCGCACTTCACCTCTTCCTCAGGCCCCGGACCACCACCACCACCATCCCTCCTCTCCAGCCCCTCTCTTCTCTGCTCCACGTCTCTTTACCGATGATCACATCCAAAGGATCCAGGCAGCTGGCTTCTCTGCCAGGGAGGCTGCTGAGGCACTGGAACAGGCCCAGGGCAGTGTGGAGCTGGCTCTGCTGGCACTACTGGCCCGCAAGATCACTGTGCCCACCTAGACACTCACAACATTACAATCATGGAAGAGTCCCAGCCTCTCTTGTCAACATCTGTTTGATTTGTTCTCTTGTCTTATTGTTGATGGTGACATCTGAATCCCCCTGGCCTTGCAGCTACTACATGCTAAAGGGGAAATGCTGTCTGTCTCTTGGTTTCCAACAGACCATACAACCAACTGTTATTTGTTCCTGGATTTAGCCGATATGATCTGAGTTGTGTGCATGCAGCAGGTGCTTCAGAAGGAGCCTGTTTTTATGGATTTCATAGATGAGATTTAGTAGATTGATTTCCTTCATCCCCCCCTTAACTCCGTATACAGAGATTGCATTTTAAACACTATTGAATTGCCCCATTGATGAGAATTTAGGTAAATGTTTACATTTGTGTGTGAAATGGCATTTTATAAAGGGCTGAAGATTAGTTAGAATGTCAGATTTGTGAGGAGTATTATTGATCTGCAAAATAATTAATTGGTTTTAGATTGTTTGATTTTAACTCATTACCGATTCAGCTAATAAAACCCACCAGACCGTCAATTTATTGCACTGTGGAAATGGCTCCATTTAAGAAACATTGCTAACTGGTGATCTTTGCCTTTTTCTGCCAATGTTATCATGTTGTAATATGACATTCAGTCGTGATTATTGCCAATCCTGGGGAACTTGATGATTGTTTTAATTTTTAAACAGCTTGCACGAAGAATAAAAAAAATCAAGGTGCAATATTTTTCAAATGACCCTTTTATTTTCCTAATTCCTTTTATTTATAAAGGAACATCAAAATAGACGAGGACAAATTCAGCTAAGTAATGAGCCACACATTGAATATTTCTGAAAAATGTCAGTGTGTGATTGTGAAGGATAAGGTCTTCAAATACAGCAGCATGTGTAATGGGCGGCAGGTAGCTTAGTGGTTAAGAGCGTTGTGCCAGTAACCGAAAGGTTGCTGGTTCTAATCCCAGAGCGGACTAGGTGAAAAATCTGTCTGTGCCCTTGAGCAAGGCACTTAACCCTAATTGCTCATCTAAGTCGCTCTGGATAAGAGCGTCTGCTAAATGACTTAAATGTAATGGGGATGTCTTTGGAAATGTGATTTATAAGTTATAAAGGGGTTTTGGAGGTTCCTGTTCAGTTTACCTCAGTTTGTTTCAGATATCTATTATGCATGTAGAATTACTCCATCTGCCATCAACTGGTCATCTCTCCTACTGTCCAAGTCTACCCTATCCAGCTGGCAGATTATTTGCTCAGTCATTCATGTATCCATGATCATTTAAAAAAAAATGTATTATTTGGGTCATAGTCATTTACCAACAACATCCAGGCAGGTTCAATTATTTAGTTATCTTGTACTGGATTTTAAACTCCCAAATAAAGTAAAACTGGTTCTTTGTATTGTATGTGTGGGGTATTTCTAGAGAATGGGTGTTAAAGATGAATTAAAGCCATGTTTTGCTAATCTGTCTTCTATTTGTTCTTCCTTGCTCATATAGTTGCTTTTGCATATGCAAACATATTAGTTTGTGTGTATATATTATATTAGTGGAGTAAACAGATGCGTTTTTATGGTAGCTCTATCCTTACGGCCAATTTATGCTTGCTCCGACAATGTGATCCGGAGGCTCCGTACGGAGGGTGTGACGCAATTGCGGAGGCCAAATCGAGCGCCGTACTGCATTGACGTGTGCCTCCCAAGTTTTGTAACAATGAGGAGGGCTCCGTATAGTTCTGCATAGACATGATTGGTTGATGGTAGGTGGGGGTGGGAGATCCTTTATAAACACTCACTCACTTCCTTGACAACAGCTCTGCTCCGTGAAGCGCAACAAGTATGAATGCCCTGACTTCTGCAGAGGCCGTATCACAGTAAATGCTGTACGGCCACTACAGATGTCGGCTTGGCCGTGTAGAGTCTTTAAGGGTAAACTGATTATTAATGTCCAGAAGTGTCATGAATAGAGAAATTAAATGGGGGGGACCACCTGTAGACTTTGATCTGATAGGCTGCGTTTACACAGGCATCCCCATTCTGATCTTTTGCCCAATTATTGGCAAAAGATCTGATTGGCCAAAAGACTAATTAGGGGGAAAATATCAGAATTGGGCTGCCTGTGTAAATGCAGCCTTAGAGGCCTGGGCACAGTAGACACAGGATAGTAGATATGAAAAGTGCTGCTGACCTAACTTTCATTGCAGCCCAGAATAATTCATTTTGTCATCTATCCCTAAATTACAGTGATGTAGCCTCATTTAACTACACAATATTAGGCTGCGTTTACACGAGCAACCCAATTCTATCCTTTTGCCCAATTAGTGGCAAAAGATCTGATCTGATTGGTCAAAAGACCAATCAAGTGGAAAAATATCAGAATTAGGTTGCCTGTGTAAACATAGCCTTAGTGGCACGATTGTCTGTAGCAAGCAATTAAATGTTGGCAGGAGCGCTGTCCAGCGTTTATCCATACTAGCAACAATAACCAGTGTGACAGAACCCACATAATGCACACCTGTAACTAGTTGCTTTGGGATTGTTAGGGTGATAATGCCCAGCTGAAACCAGTTAACTGGAACATCCTGTGTTGAAGCAGGTCCATGGTAATATTTGTGATTGTACCTTGGTTTGTTTTTCCCCCCAACTCTCAAACTGTTACCACTGCAGTATGACACTGTGCAAGTGTTTTTGAGTACAGTAACTATCTGAATCTGGCCACCAATCGATTACTAGAGCACAATGGCTCAGCTGCCTGACTTGGTAGCTCACTTAAGGAGTGAGTCATTTCACCACACATATCCCTGCGTGGGGGGTTTGGACCTCCTTGAAAATGATCTTATGGAACAGATGTCATCATCGGTAGAGCGCTCTGAGCAACCTGGTGGGACTGAGGAGAGCAACAGGTCAGAGATGAGCGGAAACTCTGTAGGTGGTGTGACAGAAGGAGATCAGAACCAACTGGAGGAAGTCTTTGGGTATGTGACTATTTTACAGTGGTGGAAAAAGTACCTAATTGTCATACTTGAGTAAAAGTAAAGATACATTAATAGAAAATGACTCAAGTGAAAGTCACCCAGTAGAATACTACTTGAGTTAGTCTAAAAGTATTTGGTTTTAAATGTACTTAAGTACAGTGGTGGGGGAAAAAGTACTCAATTGTCAAAGTAAATACTATACATCAAATTCCTTATATCAAGCAAACCAGACAGCAATATTTGCATTTACTTAGACAGCCAGGGGCACGCTCCAACACTCAGACATTTACAAACACAGTATTTGTGTTTAGTGAGTCAGCCAGATCAGAGGCGGAAGGGATAACGTTTTATATTGATGGAAGCGTGAATTGGACTATACTGCAGTCCTACCTGAGCATTCGAAATGTAACTAGTACTTTCGGGTGTCAGGGAAAATGTATAGGAGTAAATGGTACATATTTTCTTTAGGAATGTAGTTAAAGTACAGATACCCCCCCCAAAAAAATATTTTTAAGTACTTTAAACCACTGCTATTTTGTAAGTTTTCTTGTTCTTCAAACCATGACTATCCTGTGTAACTAATAAAATGCCTGCTATTTGTCCTTAGTTCTGGTGTCATAGCAACAACTCTCATGTCTGTGGCCACTTTACATACATGGGGTCTTGGAGGCCAGGTGCAGCGATCTGTGCCCAAGTTGTTTTCTGTTCCAGGGCAGGATGACAGGGAGGCTACAGCCTCTCCATTATCACTCAATGAGGATGATGACAACCAAGGGTGAGCGAGCAGGGCCTTTAATTTATTCTAGATGTCTTTTGCAGGTTTTGTATTCTAGATTAAAAGTCCCTGTTTTGTTCCTGTAGGGTAGCAGATTCCAATAAAGAGCAAACTCAAGACTTCACTTTGAAGTCCAAGTACACTCATGTTTGTAAGTTTCTCTCAATTGTATACTCTTTTCTGATTATTGAGCCCACATAGTCTAAATATCTAGTAGTCTAAGTGCGTTGAGGAAGTGTAACGTTTGCCTCCTTTCTCCAGTTCCACTCTATCAGTACTACTGCCTGCAGTCTGTAAAAGCTGACCGAAACAGGATCAACAACAGTCTGTCTGAGCTGGTGACCGCCCAGTGTCTACCTGGCATAGGGTCCCCACCTGTCTTCCGCGTCGCCAGTTATGTGGTCACCTCTCCCCCACCACTGTCTCCTCTCACAGTGAACCCATGCAGCTTTTGGCAGGACCTGTCTGAGGTGAAGGAGAGTGGCCTGCTTAACACACTCTCCCTCAGGGAGATCCGTCTACAGGAGGTGGGTGGGTAGTACCAAGGATGTTTTCTACTGATGCTATGTTTGGTATTTGTCATCCCATACAATAGCGAACATCTCCGGTATGAATTATGTCATTGAAGTGTAGTGAGGAATATAAGTAATCTATGAAAATAGCAGCTGGAAGGGGTAGATGTCATCTCTGTTTTTGCTCTGAAGGCTATGTTTGAGGTGATTGGTTCTGAGGCCTCCTACCTGAAAAGCCTGGGGGTAGCTGTGAATCACTTCTTTGCATCGAAGACACTGAAACAGACCCTCCATCGCATGGAGCACCACATCCTGTTTTCCAACCTGCACAGTGTGATGGAAGCCAGTGAGGGGTAAGGACCGCCAATGGACTAGTCTTTACAGGACTGACCAGACTGGCATAAATAATAATTGTCACATACACCAGATAGGTGCAGTGAAATGTGCTGTTTTAATAGTAGTAAGGCACCCTTGGAGCAAATTAGGGTTAAGTGCCTTGCTCAAGGGCACATCGATAGATTTTTCAACTTGGGTATTCCAACGCGACCTTTCAGTCACTGGCCCAACACTCTAACCGCCAGCCTACCTGCCGCCCTTGGGGTTTCTCTTTGGGTCACTGTTGTTGAATGACAGTTTTGCTAAAATGACAGGACTAAAATCCTCCATAGTCTCCATTTTTGTTTATTTGCCATTTTATACCAACTTGTGTGTTATGAGGCTTTAGGCTAAGTGACTGCTCTGATACCTGCAGGTTCCTGCTGGATCTGAAGGTGCGTCTGGGGGAGAGTGTGGTGATCTCTCAGGTTGGAGACATTGTGCTGCGTCACTGCCTCATGTTCCGATCCCTCTACGTGCCATATGTGACCAACATGATGTACCAGGAGGCCCTCGTCACTCTACTGCTGTGGGTTTTTCTCTCTCATTACGCTGCTCAGTTACTGTCTTGCCGTGGTGGAAAAAGTACTCACTTGTCATACTTGAGTAAAAGTAAAGATACATTAATAGAAAATGACTCAAGTGAAAGTCACCCAGTAAAATACTACTTGAGTAAAATTATTCGGTTTTAAATATACTTAAGTATCAAAAGTAAAAGTAGAAATCCAAACGACACGATATTCTAGTTTTTTAAATGTATTTACGGATAGTCAAGGGCACACTCCAACACTCAGACATAATTTACAAATGAAGCGTGTGTTTAGTGAATCTGCCAGATCAGAGGCAGTAGAGATGACCAGGATGTTCTCTTGATCAGTTTGTGAATTTGACCATTTTCCTGCCCTGTTAAGCATTCAAAATGTAACTAGTACTTTTGGGTGTCAGGGAAAATGTATGGCGTAAAAATCATTTTCTTTAGGAATGTAGTCAAGAAAAAAGTTGCCAAAAAACGACAAAAGTATTTTTACTTAAGTACTTTACACCACTGTTGTCTTCATTTTTACCTCTTGCTCTTTCCCCTATTCCCAGGCAGGAGAACCGAGAGTTTCTGTTAGCAGTGAAGAAACTGGAGAGTGATCCAATATGTCGGAGACAGACCCTGAAGTACTTCCTAGTCCTCCCCTTCCAGAGGATCACACGTCTGAAGATCATCATGGAGGTAGGCAGGCCTCAGAGACTGGAGTCTACAGGGGATGAGCAGTATCGGGTGGTGTCCCTGACTACTGCTAGGGTTCGGTATACAGGATTCCATGCAACAGACTTCATGCATGTAGAGGTTAATGCTGGGAGTTTCTATGGTCATTGCAGAGCATCCTGAAGTTGACTGGGCAAGAATCTGAATCGATCCCTTGTCTGAAAGAGGCCATTGAAGCCATACACAAGGTAAAGGTCACTACTTACACAATGGAATAAAGCTTCTGTTTTGGGCTCAGTTGTTGAATGCTTAAACTACAACACTGTTCTTTTTATCCTGTCCAATGAGACCAGATAGTGATGGAGTGTGATGGGGGGGTTCAGCGGATGAAGCAGATTGAAAAACTGGTGTACCTGGACAAGCACATGGATTTTGGCAATGTTAAGGTTTGATGTTATTGCAGTCTCGTTATTTCGGTGACATTGTGTTACTACATCATTGTATCCCTTCTGTTTACCAAGATCTCAATTATGAAAAATGTATAAATGCAGATTGACATGACAGCCTGCTTGTTCTCCCTGTTTAACCTATAGGTGGCAGTGGTGCCTCATGGGAAAACTCCAGCATTGCGATTCACCATTTACCTGATTTGTTTCTCTTTTCAGTCCATTCCTCTGATCACAAGTGTCCGCTTTCTGGTGCATGAAGGCCCCTTGAGACAGCTCACTCCAGAGGGCTATGTGCCGGGTTCCAGGATTTCCTACATGGACGTTTACCTGCACCTTTTCAATGACCTGTTGATCATCTCATTGAAAAAGTATGCTTCCACATCTTCATACATCTATGAACAATATTTACAAGCACTACATCCAAGCACTATGCTTGTTAAATACAAAGTACCTCTTTGTCATGTGTTACTACTGTCACCCAACCTCCCTGCCGTCTTCTTTTCCAACCATCAGAGAGATGCGTTTCAGAGTGCTGGATCATGCAGTGTTCCCCACCCACGTGCACACTGAGCAGCTGAAAACGGAGGCCCTTGGTCTGCCTCTAGAGTCCTTCGTGCTGCGTCTCTCCCAGAACCACACTGGGCATGCCACTGCTTTCATACTCGCCCCACATACCACTACCAGGTAAGAATTAGGTTATACATTCCTTTGTCCCCTCACATCTAATTTACAAAATGACTCCATATGCATGCGTTTACAGGTCAGACAAAGAGGCCTGGATGAAAGCTCTGTCCTCTCAGTGGGGACACGTATGAAGGACCTGTGACATACTGTACTGTGTAGACTTTCTGATGTATTAGGAGCCAATGGTCTGCTGGAAGAGCAGGAGTGTTTTAGTTGCCAGTCCGTGTTACTGCATTGGAGAAAGTGTTTACAGTTTTAGACACATTTCAGCTTGTGGTATTGTGCAAGTTGCTACAACTTAGTTTTAATCTGTTACTGATTGCATGTACTTGCATCTTATTCACTTTGTTTATTTGGCACTTGGTTTTTCTATTTTTGCTCTTTTTTTGGGGGGGGGGGGGTTGTATTGCACTGTTTATTTTATTTATTGTGGTTATTTTTGATGGACCACAGCTTTTGTTTGTACTTGGATATCAGTTACCATCTCACAATTAGTTTAGGAGATATCAGTTTGACATTTTTATGTGAATTTTATGCATGATAAATAAAGTGTCATATTTTGAAATGTCCCTGTTTATCCTTTTTCCTGCTGAAATCACATGTACATTTCTGTAGTTATATTTTGAGCAACAGTTATAATTATAATCCTGTCCTCAGTTCAGTATAAATGACGATCATATTCATTCAGACAACTTGTTTTCTACAACAGTATGTTGTTGGCTGTAGATTTGTAGCTCAGTAGAGCATGGTGTTTGCAACGCCAGGGTTGTGGGTTCAATTCCCACGGGGGGCCAGTATGAAAAAATATATAAAATAATGTATGCACTAACTAAGTCGCTCTGGATAAGAGCGTCTGCTAAATGACGTAAAATGTAAATATCAGACTGGGAATTTTGTAAAACAATGACAAAATACAATAAATGTAAGTACCTCATGATAGACACAAGGAAGCACAGATGTGCAGAACAACAGTATGTTGATGGCTGTAGATTTGTGATGCGTCTGTTAGCATGGAAATAAATGAATTAAAAGGTAGCTAATGTGACCATTACAATTAGAGCATGCTAGCTAACCCACTCTTACAGCAATAACATACAAAAGCACATTCCAGGATGCCCCCAATAGCTAACCGGTACGTACACAAACACTGAACAAAAATATAAACTGTTGGAGGCGGCTTATGGTAGAGAAATGAACATTCAATTCTCTGGCAACAGCTTAGGTGGAGATTCCTGCAGGCAGCATACCAATTGCACGCTCCCTCAAAACGTAATACATCTGTGGCATTGTCTTTTGTGACAACTGCTCATTTTTAGTGGCCTTTTATTGTCCCAAGCACAAGGTGCACCTGTGTAATGACCATGCTGTTTAATCAGCTTCTTGATATGCCACACCTGTAAGGTGTTTGGATTATCTTGACAAAGGAGAAATGCTCACTAACAGGGATGTCAACAAATTTGTGCACAAAATGTGAAATCATTTTTTTGTGCGTCTGGAAAATTTCTGGGATCTTTTATTTCAGCTCTTGAAACATGGGACCAACACTACATGTTGCGTTTTATTTTTCTTCAGTATAGATAAATGTGTCAATATAAAATTTAGAGACGTTCTGTAATTACTGTCCTACTCAAAATTTGAAGTGAATTATTAATTGAAGAGGAATTAATATTGAGCCCTAGATGTAGGGAGAATTAATTTAGCAGGGGCTCAGTAACACTAGAGTGGAGATGGGCCATTCCAGACGGCAACGGTAGTCACTAATTGACGTCGAAGCTGACTTATTGCCAACTGGAGGGTGGGTGTCAAGGAAATCCCAATAAAAAAATGTATTTCAATCAAACGTTCTTTATTCTTGCCTGTATTTTTTTATCAAATCAAAATGTTTCATGTGCCGAAATGCTTGTTACTAGCTCCTTAACAATGCTACAAAAAGTCAAACAGTACACAAATAATCATCAGAAACAAGAAATCATGAATAGCAGAACGAATCCAGTTAACCCAAATAACATTGTATTGGTATTCCAAATGCAATCTGTGTGTATTTACACCAAAAATATATACTTAGAATGATATGTACAGCAGTAGATATATTAGTGAGCTATATTGAGAATCCAGTGTATAAATAATGTAACTACAATGTATTATACAGTAGTAGATATTATTTTCTGCTAGCTGATTGAATTCAGACAAGTGATTCAGTTACAAGGCAACACTGATTTTATTGAAACTAAAAAATATTTTTTTTACAAACGTGCCAGATCAGTGTCTTTTTAATTAAACAAATACAATAAATATTAAATAAATATTAAATAATAATGGAAGAACCACTAAGAGTAGATGGAGGCGAACTGTAAACTAAAGTAAAATACTATTTCAAAATGTATGAGAGAAAAGTATGAGGTGGAATGCAGACAGGATGGAATCTACAAAATCAAAAAGAAAGATACAAAGTATTTGATCTCTTGCCCTGACCGGAATAATTCAGAAGACCAATAAACCTGTCATTTGAGTAGACTGGCATTCTCATCTATCCATCTGTTATGTCAAAGCCTCAAATCTTTATAAAACAAAAGTCCAGAAGTGACTAAAGGAATAAGTGAGTGCTTGAGGAGGTAGACGCAGTCCTGGAGTGCCTTAGCTTGAATGTCTTTTGTTTTTCAGACTTCCAGTTGAGAAATAACTACAAAGTGGAGCCGTCCTCCTTCTCAGGTCTCATACAGCTTCCTCCACCTCCAAAGGCTGTAGTTTCCTATCTGCCATTATATTTCCATACTTGATCATATAAAAAGTTATTTATATATGATGCATTACCTCTCCTTTAACCACATCTCTGTGTCTCTTGTCATGGAGTACTTCAACGTTTTACATGTCAGTCTTTTCTGAGTGGCTGGCAGGCAAGGTCCTCTTCAGTCATGCCACTGACCAGTCTAAAGTAGCGTAGCTCAGCCATTATTAGTACATGTTCAACCCAACTTGTGAATTGAGGTGGCCAGTTCAGTCCTATTCTGGGGAATCTCAGGTTGGGGGTCTCACACTGCAAACACTGTACTGCAAACACTGAGAGAGCTGGTCTGGTCTTTAAGTCCAACGATGCTGTAGGCGATTCTCTTCATGTGACCTGGTAACCGCACGCCAATGTTCCTGATGTCCCTGAGAGAGACGAAAGATAGAGACAGGAGCTGTTAGGAAAATGTTTCACATTCAAACCAATAGGTAGCACGAAGATAAAATATGATTGTATTTGCAACTTCCTACTTGGACATGATACAGCCAGTGGTGCTATTTAGGGTGGGGCAGTGGATGAGTGCAGCATTCCGTGAATGAGAGTGTAGCATTCCATATATGAGAGTGTGGCATACCGGACAACAAATGCTTAACAAAGATCTGAATACTCTTACTGTATGTTCAAACATGGCAGTGTCCCTACTAAGCCCATGTAATGTGGTGAGGATGGTGCATTGTTACTGTACATGTGTGTAGTACTTACTCATGCCTCATGGCCAGCACCTGCTCCATGGTTGTGATTCCAGCGCAGGCAAAGCTCTCAGTGTACTGGCTCATCTTGATGGACTCCAGCCATTCCGGCACAGACCTGAAGGGGGAGCCGTCACAGCCACTGGTGCTGGGAAGGCGGATGGACACACTGTGTAGAAAAAACGGGGAAATAGATTGGTAAGTAAACGTTATATTCAAAGTATGTGAAAAATATCAACTGTCAAGTCCAGGGGAGATCAGCTTCATTAATTCACATCTTACCGGGGATCAAAGTCAGCAATGGTTTTCAGAGACTCTGGGCTCCGGAGCAGTTTGTCCAGGATGTTGACGATGTCTGGGAAGCGAGGTCGTTTGGAGCGGTCCTGCAGCCAACACTGCAGCATCAGCTGGTAAACGGTGGATGGACAGTCCATGGGTGCAGGCAGCCGGAAGGCCTCGTTAATGGCCTTCATCACCTGAGGAAGAAGAGGGGTTTAGACTGTGTTCTCACAGATCTGGTGTTTATGATCCAGCCCACTGTATTCTTAAGGACCCTAAGCCAACAGACTGTAAGAATATGTTTTGTGTTAATGCATGTGGGCACTAACAGTTTTATGTGAAGAGGACTGTGGGAACTATTTTGACTTAGAGGCCCTTAGTGGGTTGTTTTAAACACTCCACCCAGGATAAATACCCAGAGATGATGCATCACAGAGCCCTTGTGTTTATCCAGACCTACAGCACTCTGTTATTTCCATAAAACAGAGAAGGGAGTGAAGGAAATGTGACGGATTAAGTGTAGGGCATACCTCATGGTTGCTCATGTCCCAGTAGGGTCGTTCTCCGAAGGCCATGACTTCCCACATGACTATACCGAAGCTCCACACGTCGCTGGCCGAGGTGAACTTCCTGTACGCGATAGCCTCTGGGGCGGTCCAGCGGATGGGGATCTTCCCTCCCTGAAGGAACGGCAACAAGAACAAATCATAAGAATGAGACTGAAGGGAATGTATTCACTAGAGGCATGGCTATTACTAATGTAAAGGTTTAGGAGGCTGAGTGAGGGTCTGTCAACAACATCAATCATTTGTACCCAATTAAAAGTAAATACATGGGAAGGCTATTAAGTGCATAGCACATGGTAGATTGTAATACCCCACTGTTCCCATACATTAATATCAGTACTATGGATGTTTGACTCACGCTGGTGGTGTAGGTGCCCTCAGGATCGTCCTCCAGAACGCGGGACAGGCCGAAGTCAGACACCTTGCAGTCCAGATTGCTGTTGACCAGAACGTTGCGGGCAGCCAGGTCTCGGTGCACATAGCTCATGTCAGAAAGGTACTTCATGCCGGCCGCGATGCCACGCAGCATGCCCACCAGCTGGTACGATGACATCTCCCCATCACGGTCCTTTAGATAGTTGTCAAGCGCTCCATTCTCCATGTATTCTGTCACAATCATGGCATGTTTGACTGCTTGAAGAAAAAGATAAAAAGGGACAAATTTAGTACTTCATGTCAACAAAAGAGGCACAGTATGGTAGAGATGGGAAATAGGGGATGTTACTAGATAAGGCAAATAACTTCATAATAACTAATACAGTGGGGGGAAAAGTATTTAGTCAGCCACCAATTGTGCAAGTTCTCCCACTTAAAAAGATGAGAGAGGCCTGTAATTTTCATCATATGTACACGTCAACTATGACAGACAAAATGAGAAAAGAAAATCCAGAAAATCACATTGTAGGATTTTTAATGAATTTATTTGCAAATTATGGTGGAAAATAAGTATTTGGTCAATAACAAAAGTTTCTCAATACTTTGTTATATACCCTTTGTTGGCAATGACACAGGTCAAATGTTTTCTGTTAGTCTTCACAAGGTTTTCACACACTGTTGCTGGTATTTTGGCCCATTCCTCCATGCAGATCTCCTCTAGAGCAGTGATGTTTTGGGGCTGTCGCTGGGCAACACGGACTTTCAACTCCCTCCAAAGATTTTCTATGGGGTTGAGATCTGGAGACTGGCTAGGCCACTCCAGGACCTTGAAATGCTTCTTACGAAGTCACTCCTTCATTGCCCGGGCGGTGTGTTTGGGATCATTGTCATGCTGAAAGACCCAGCCACGTTTCATCTTCAATGCCCTTGCTGATGGAAGGAGGTTTTCACTCAAAATCTCACGATACATGGCCCCATTCATTCTTTCCTTTACACGGATCAGTCGTCCTGGTCCCTTTGCAGAAAAACAGCCCCAAAGCATGATGTTTCCACCCCCATGCTTCACAGTAGGTATGGTGTTCTTTGGATGCAACTCAGCATTCTTTGTCCTCCAAACACGACGAGTTTAGTTTTTACCAAAAAGTTATATTTTGGTTTCATCTGACCATATGATATTCTCCCAATCCTCTTCTGGATCATCCAAATGCACTCTAGCAAACTTCAGACGGGCCTGAACATGTACTGGCTTAAGCAGGGGGACACGTCTGGCACTGCAGGATTTGAGTCCCTGGCGGCGTAGTGTGTTACTGATGGTAGGCTTTGTTACTTTGGTCCCAGCTCTCTGCAGGTCATTCACTAGGTCCCCCCGTGTGGTTCTGGGATTTTTGCTCACCGTTCTTGTGATCATTTTGACCCCACGGGGTGAGATCTTGCGTGGAGCCCCAGATCGAGGGAGATTATCAGTGGTCTTGTATGTCTTCCATTTCCTAATAATTGCTCCCACAGTTGATTTCTTCAAACCAAGCTGCTTACCTTTTGCAGATTCAGTCTTCCCAGCCTGGTGCAGGTCTACAATTTTGTTTCTGGTGTCCTTTGACAGCTCTTTGGTCTTGGCCATAGTGGAGTTTGGAGTGTGACTGTTTGAGGTTGTGGACAGGTGTCTTTTATACTGATAACAAGTTCAAACAGGTGCCATTAATACAGGTAACGAGTGGAGGACAGAGGAGCCTCTTAAAGAAGAAGTTACAGGTCTGTGAGAGCCAGAAATCTTGCTTGTTTGTAGGTGACCAAATACTTATTTTCCACCATAATTTGCAAATAAATTCATAAAAAATCCTACAATGTGATTTTCTGGAGAAAAAAAATCTAGTTGACGTGTACCTATGATGAAAATTACAGGCCTCTCTCATCTTTTTAAGTGGGAGAACTTGCACAATTGGTGGCTGACTAAATACTTTTTTCCCCACTGTACATTTCTATTCAGTGAATCAGTAGAGGATCAATCAGTAGTCACTCAGCGCTACGTTCCAAATGGCATCATATTCCCTTTAGTGCACTACTTTTGACAATAGGTCTCGGGTCAAAAGTAGTGCACTACATTGGGAATAGGGTGCCATTTGGGACGCAGACTGTCTGAGAGCAGGAACTCACACTTGGTGATGACTCCCTCCAGGCGGATTATGTTCTGGTGGGAAAACTGGCCCATGATGCTAGCTTCACTCAGGAAATCCTGCTTCTGCTTCTCTGTGTAGCCTGGCTTCAATGTCTTGATGGCCACCGCTACCTCTCCTCTCCTTGGAGCCTTCATCACACCACGGTACACTTCCCCAAACTCTCCTGTGAAACAGAAACACACACAGAGAGAATCATATTAATATAGCAACATTCTTCTTGGGGGAGGGGATCAGAGAGATTTGTTCTAAATATTACTGTAAACTGGTTTGACATTTACCTGCTCCGATGACTTTTTGCTTAGTGACAAGACTGGGATGAATCTCGCTGGCAAACTTCAGGATAGCCGTGTTGGGGTCTTCGTACATGTGCGGGTCAATGTAGGTCTTCAGGGGCTTCAGTTGATCTGAGGAAGTGTGAAAGACAATTAGTCAAGGAGGAAATTGAAGATGGGAGATAATCTCTTTGGTAAGGCACATCGCTGTTGTAATAGAGGGACATACACTATATATAAAAAAGTATGTGGACACCACTTCAAATTAGTGGATTTGGCTATTTCAGCTGACAGGTGCATAAAATCAAGCACACAGCCATGCAATCTCCATAGACAAGTCAGTTCGTCAAATTTCTCCCCTGCTAGAGCTGCCCCGGTCAACTGTAAGTGCTGTTATTGTGAAGTGGAAACGTCTAGGAGCAACAACGGCTCAGCCACACAAGCTCACAGAATGGGATGGCCGAGTGCTGAAGCGCGTAAAAATCGTCTGTCCTCGGTTGCATCACTCGCTACCAAGTTCCAAACTGCCTGTGGGAGCAATGTCAGCAAAATAACTGTTAGCCGGGAGCTACAAGCCTAAGATCACCATGCGCAATGCCAAGCGTTGGCTGGAGTGGTGTAAAGCTCGTCGCCATTGGACTCTGGAGCTGTGGAAACTCGTTCTCTGGAGTGATGGATCATCTGGCAGTCCGACGGATGAATCTGCGTTTGGCGGATGCCAGGAGAACGCTACCTGCCCTACTGCATAGTGCCAACTGTAAAGTTTGGTGGAGGAGGAATAATGGCCTGGGGCTGTTTTTCATGGTTCAGGCTAGGCCCCTTAGTTCCAGTGAAGGGAAATCTTAACGCTACAGCATACAATGACATTCTAGACGAGTCTGTGCTTCCAACTTTGTGGCAACAGTTTGGGAAAGGCCCTTTCCTGTTTCAGCATGACAATGCCCCTGTGCACAGAGCGAGGTCCATACAGAAATGGTTTGTCGAGATCGTGTGGAAGAACTTGACTGGCCTGCACAAAGCCCTGACCTCAATCTCATCTAATACCTTTGGGATGAATTGGAACGCAGACCGCGAGCCAGGCCTAATCGCTCAACATCAGTGCCCGACCTCAATAATGCTCTTGTGGCTGAATGGAAGCAAGTTCCTGCATCAATGTTCCAACATCTAGTGGAAAGCCTTCCCAGAAGAACGGAGGCTGTTATAGCAGCAAAGTGGGACCAACTCCATACTAATGCCCATGATTTTGGAATGAGATGTTCGACGAGCAGGTGTCCACATACTTTTGGTCATGTAGTGTATTTCTTGGATGCTGTGATTCCTACCTGTGCTGGAGAAGTAGGGGTCCTCTGATCCCTGTCTATGACGGTAGTTCATTCTCCTGTTAGGAAGCACAGTCACTATTAGGATTGGCCAGACAAAATGCAATGTTAAGACATTCTTATTATGTAAGGCATCATTAAACTGCACAGTGAAAATCTAACTTTTAAAAGTTAATATTCTGTTAACTCATATCCAGATAATGTTGTTGACTCGTCCTATACTCGTATTTGTGGCCAAAGCATAAATTGGAGAAGAAAAAACGTCAAAAACCACACCTTAAACCTGTATCTCAAACAGATTGTTTAAAAAATGCTTGCTATTTCCTCATAGAACATGATGTCATCTCCCTGAGGAGGATGAGCTGGCCAATCAGCGGTCTTTTTTTATTTTTTTATTTAACCTTTATTTAACCAGGTAAGCCAGTTGAGAACAAGTTCTCATTTACAACTGCGACCTGGCCAAGATAAAGCAAAGCAGTGCGATAAAAACAACAACACAGAGTTACATATGGGGTAAAACAAAACATAAAGTCAAAAATACAACAGAAAATATATATAGTGTGTGCAAATGTAGCATGTTATGGAGGTAAGGCAATAAATAGGCCATAGTGCAAAATAATTACAATTAGTATTAACACTGGAATGATAGATGTGCAAGAGATGATGTGCAAATAGAGATACTGGGGTGCAAATGAGCTAAATAAATAACAATATGGGGATGAGGTAGTTGGGTGGGCTAATTACAGTGATCGGTAAGGTGCTCTGACAACTGATGCTTAAAGTTAGTGAGGGAGATAAGAGTCTCCAGCTTCAGAGATTTTTGCAGTTCGTTCCAGTCATTGGCAGCAGAGATCTGGAAGGAATGGCGGCCAAAGGAGGTGTTGGCTTTGGGGATGACCAGTGAGATATACCTGCTGGAGCGCATACTACGGGTTGGTGTTGCTATGGTGACCAATGAGCTAAGATAAGGCGGGGATTTGCCTAGCAGTGATTTATAGATGGCCTGGAGCCAGTGGGTTTGGCGACGAATATGTAGTGAGGACCAGCCAACAAGAGCGTACAGGTCACAGTGGTGGGTAGTATATGGGGCTTTGGTGACAAAACGGATGGCACTGTGATAGACTACATCCAATTTGCTGAGTAGAGTGTTGGAGGCTATTTTGTAATTGACATCGCCAAAGTCAAGGATCGGTAGGATAGTCAATTTTACAAGGGCATGTTTGGCAGCATGAGTGAAGGAGGCTTTGATGCGAAATCGGAAGCCGATTCTAGATTTAACTTTGGATTGGAGATGCTTAATGTGAGTCTGGAAGGAGTTTACAGTCTAACCAGACACCTAGGTATTTGTAGTTGTCCACATACTCTAGGCCAGACCCGTCGAGAGTAGTGATTCTAGTCGGGTGGGCGGGTGCCAGCAGCGTTCGATTGAAGAGCATGCATTTAGTTTTACTTGTGTTTAAGAGTAGTTGGAGGCTACGGAAGGAGTGTTGTATGGCATTGAAGCTCGTTTGGAGGTTTGTTAACACAGTGTCCAATGAAGGGCCAGATGTATACAAAATGGTGTCGTCTGCGTAGAGGTGGATCTGAGAGTCACCAGCAGCAAGAGCAACATCATTGATATACACAGAGAAAAGAGTCGGCCCAAGAATTGAACCCTGTGGCACCCCCATAGAGACTGCCATAGGTCCAGACAACTTGCATTAATATTTTTAATGACTGGTATACGTCCACAACATTCTGTTGTTGGGGTACACCCACACCATTCCAACACAGAGCTGCTTTTTAACATACTTAATTTTAAAACTATTGGAAGGAAAACTATTTCCCTAAGTAAGTATTTTATAGAAATCTGGAAACACTGGGCAGTTACTTTAACTAAATAGCATGGAGACCCATAAACCTGTTTCCTGTGGTGACTAGACCAGTTTTGCTAGAGACACGTAGATTCCCTTTTTTTTGGTGCCCTCTCTGGGTTGAACAGTGTTCATGATGCTTTTAAAACCCACTTGATCACAGGCAGGCTGCCGTATCAGTAAGGCCTGCATCATCTTCACCACAGACCCTGTCAGCTGCAGTTACAGGTTTTAACAGCTACTCTGGCTGTTACTGATAAAACCCTCTTAGAGATGACATGGCATTACAATCTCAATCAGCTCGGGCCTGTGACCCACCCGTAATAAACCCACAGCACCCCCCCCCCCCCCCCCCCCCCCCCCCACACACACACAAAAATATAAACAAATATAAAAAAATACTAATATAAAAAATACAAAAAATTGCATTTTGTCTATGAACACTCGCGCTTGACCTTTCCCCCCCTTACTAGCACTGACTTTGCTGATAGCTACTTTATTAAGAAAACCTTTACTTACTATGACTGAGATACAGTATGTGGCTGTCCCACCTAGTTATCTTAAGATGAATGCACTAACTGTAAGTCGCTCTGGATAAGAGCGTCTGCTAAATGACTAAAATGGAAATGTAATGAAATACCAAATGTGAACTACATCTTAGGACAGAGGGATATGATAGGATCAGTGTGTTCTAACCGTTTGTGCAGCAGTAGAATGACTACAACGACGAGCAACATGATTCCTCCTCCTACTACAGCTCCCATAACCACTGTGGAGTTGTTCTGGACCTGAGACTCTGCTGAAACACAACCAGACAACACAGTTAGATCACAATACACTCACATTTTAAAACGTCTTGCCTGGATATTAGAGACAAACATAGTGTGGTGTCTCCAGTTTCTAGGGCCACACTTACCAATGGGCAAGGTCTTGAACTCATGCTTCATGCTGTATCCCCCTGGGTTTCCCTCAGGGCTGAGAGCCTGGACTCTGAACACGTAGGCCGTGTCAGGGGAGAGGTCACTGATCTGCACCGTACTCTTCTCCAGAACCAGGACCGTGTATGTAGTGACATCACGCTCACTGTCGTCCTCCTGCACAGGACAGAGAGAGAGAGAGAGGAGCACTGAGAGGGGGTTCACTATAGAGATATACTAATACTATTATATATATGTTGTGTTTAATGTGGGACTGACATGGAGAGATAGAAGAGAGAGGGTGGTGTTGTTGTCTGTCTTACCTTCCTGCGGTACATGAGTTCGTAGCGGTGGCTGATATGGTATGGTGCTCGGCGGGACAGAGCCCAGGACAGAGACAGGCTGGTGGGGCTCCGCTCGTCCAGACGGATGGACGTCACCTTGGGGGGATCAGTGAAGTGCAGAGCGGTGGTGATGGTGCTGCTGGCTCTCTGCCTGCTGTACTGGGACACTCCGCTGCGGGCCTCTACAGTGAACGTGTAGTTGAGGTGAGGCTCCAGCTCGCTGACAGTTACCACAGGATCCTGGAGATCCATGGGGCCGGGATCGAAGCGGACCTTCTCCCCACAGGGCACGCACAGGGCCCCGGCACAGCGCTCACACACCACGCTGTAGCAGATGTCCCGGCGGCCTCCTGTCACCAGTGGGGGGCTCCAGGACAGCTGCAGCCTGCCCTCCACTGACAGAGTGGTGGAGGCCAGGTCACGAGGGGCGCTGGGCAGGGCTAAAGGAGGAGGCAGAAAGTAGACAGAGTTATTATGAGACATTCCAAATGTTAATACACCAGATGAACAATGCTCAGATCCCTCTATCAACAATGATGATGACATAAAGACAGTATAGCCTATGAGTATAGCCTATGAGTATAGTCTATGAGTATAGCCTATGAGTATAGCCTATGAGGACACATGATAAAATAAGGAATGGCTGTAGAATTGGCTAACCCTTTGTTAGTGATAGGCCTGGCTGTAGCCGACTATCTGGCCATGGTTCTTACCAGAGCAGGCTGACATAAGAGGGTCTGATGGGGAGCGGTAGAATCCCTCCATACATGGACACAGGAGGGCGCCGGCTGTGGATGGCTCAGTATTCTCAGGACAAACCTCACAGGACTCACTGGACACAGAGTCTTTAAAGGAGCCTGGCATACACGCTGAAAGAAACAGGAAGATGCTTATTAGTTATAGTATTATTAGTATTCACACGTACACTAGGGAAAGAGTGTGTGATTGAGTTACAATACATTAAAACATTATCTCTGTCAGTCCCCTGGGGCTTGTCAGGAAACTCAGGCTGTGGTTAAACTGTAATCACTGAGGCTTTGTATTTAAACAGAATGGAATGGGATTTTCCGGATGATTTGCCTCCACTTGTCCTTTTCGCCTCAAGTTCCATTCTCAAGTTGCACTGACAGTCAACCGGATGCCATGGAAACACTCAACACAGCAGATGATCCCTCTGTACAACCTTTCCCTTTTGAACTCTAAAATCAGCACTGTGAATGCTGATGTGGCTATTGTTTGAGGAGCCTAACGGAAATACCAACATGGTTACTGCTGAGGATATTCAATTGACCTGTAGGATATAAAGAAAAAATTTACCTTCCATTCCGGAACTTGTGGGGTTAGTGTGTGTGTGTGTGTGTGTTTGTATTGGACATAAACCAGGATGCAAGGATTGCAAGTCTGAAACTTTGCTTCCTTCCTTCCTCCCTTCCTCTGGTGGCAAATGACAACGCGCAAGGATGGAGCAAGGGAGTGGAAGTCTGGAGGAAGTAGAACTGCTAGAGGGGAGATGTTGTTGACCGACCGTGTTGAAGGAGCCTAAATCAATACCATCTTTTAAAGGAGGATCGATGGGAATGAAGACTGTTTACTTTAAGAAGCGATCTCCTCTCTCTCGCCCTTTGTTCTAATGTCTCCCCAGGGGATCAGTCTTTCATCAGGCCTCGATAGTGAAGAGGGTGACCTGTGATGGACAAGAGGGATCTGCCGGTGACTTAACCACCATGGCAGAAGGACCTCTGCGTTACAACCAGCCCCACAATAGAACAATGGAGATGAGTTTTGAGTTTGAGTAGGGGGGATTGAGAAGAATAGATGGATGGATGGATGGATGGATGGATGGATGGGGGGATGGGTTAGGGTCTAAAGTACCAACAGAAGTTCTCTCTGGGGAATCACTCTGGGAGTGTGGGGGTGTATAAGGCTCCTCACGCATAAAAAAAGGAGGCCAGCCTGTTTCATCTGGAGAACGAGCAGCAGGACTCCTGCCACATATCAAAGCACCCCCACCCCTTTTCATCTATTGTGATTGGGATTGGACTGAGTGGTTCCATAAAATATGTTGCATTTAGTCATTAGAGCCCTAAAATGGTGGCATGTGCACTGCATATATCAGTGACATGACAGCAATCTTTCAAGATCACCCTGATAATGTTTGAATTTCAGTGAGTGAAACTTTAGAAGACAAAAAAATTATTTGACAAATATTACACATTAATGTGGTTGTTTGTTATTGATGAATCGGTAAGATATTTTTTTTTTAATATTCTTACAAACTAAGGAAATAAAAATTTTTTTGACTGAAAGTGGGACCTTGGACTGAAATAATGCCTCACATTGTCCTGGTCGGTCCCTTTCGACACGGCGGTGCTCTTTATGAATGAATGGAGTGGTGGTGGCAGTAATGCATCTGTTCATTTAATCTGTGTTTTGATCTCTGTGTCGGCCCATTGTTCTAATGAGTGGGAACAAGGATTAGGGAGCTCATTGCGTGTGTTAATGACCGGATGAAAGAGCAAAGAGGAGTGAAGCAGGGCATATCATTCGCGAAAAGCTGCCCTCTTACTCCACACTAAGCCTCTTGACTAAATTAACTAAGTACCTGGCGGTTCCACGCATCTAACTAACCAACCTCTCATGCGCCCGTCAACTGTCCACTAACCACCAACTCCCCTCCCTCATGACTTCACACTGAGTCACAGACAACCATCTTATTTGAGTCAGCCTGGCCCAATATTCCCCTTTAATTCCTCGTTCCCAGCAGATATTCTCTGGACCTTTAGTGATATCCCATAAATCCCTTGCCATTGACAGGAACGTGTTTCTGCTTGACTACACAGAGAAGTAGGATATGACTCAGTGTCAGAAATCAGTATAATAATGAACTGAACAAGTTTGTCATGTCAACCTGTTTGGGTCTTTTCTGCCTTTGTCCTCGTTTAAAAAAATAAAAAATTTAAAAGGTCCCAAATAGTAATTCTGATTCCCATGTAAAATGGTCGTTTGAATTACTAAAATATCACCCACAATATTTTTTGGGGGTCGAAATGCTAAAATGTTTGAGAATTATTTATTTTTTTCTCTCATGGCTAACTACTAGGAAGTTTGACTAGACAGGCTGAGTGGGCGGGGAGCTTATATTCATGAGCTCGCCTTGACTGACAGCTCTTTGAAATGCCTATGTCAAGAAACTTGGATGCAGTGAGCAGTGTTGCAGTAAAATCATCTCAAGCAAATGTGGTGATACACAAAGCAACTCAAACAACATTGAAATTGCAGCAATAATGTATTTTTTTTATACATCTTCTGTTTGACATGTCTCTTGTGATGCAATTCACAGCAGCACTGACAGATGCTTATGCCAATTGTCCTGGACATGGAACATTCCTGAGCTTGGCCTTCCCCCTTCGCTTGGAACTATCAGACCCTTTGAGGTACTCTTCCTCAGGCTTGGAGCTATGTTATGGTGGAATACTTTCTCAATGTTAAAATAAATGTAAACGTATTTTTATTGTAGTAAGGTAACAACATGACAATCTATGACAGGGTTCCCCAACTGGCGGCCTGTGGGCCGAATTTGGCCAATGGGTGGGCCTGGGAGGGCATAGGCCCACCCACTTGGGAGCCAGACCCACCCACTGGGGAGCCAGGCCCAGCCAATCAGAATGAGTTTATTACAGACAGAAATACTCCTCAGTTTCATCAGCTGGTCTCAGACGATCCTGCAGGTGAAGAAGCCGGATGTAGAGGTCCTGGGCTGGCGTGGTTACACGTGGTCTGCGGTTGTGAGGCTGGTTGGACGTACTGCCAAATTCTCTAAAATGACGTTGGAGGCGGCTTATGGTAGAGAAATGAACATTAAATTATCTACCAAAAGCTCTGGTGGACATTCCTGCAGTCAGCATGCCAATTGCAAGCTCCCTCAAAACTTGAGACATCTGTGGCATTGTTTGGGCGAAAAAACGGCACATTTTAGAGTGGCCTTTTATTGTCTCCAAGTGGGTGGGCCATTGCCCTCCCAGGCCCACCCATGACTGCGCTCCTGCCCAGTCATGTGAAATCCATAGATCTATGAGTTAACCTGGTTACCTAGCCTATTGGCCTATATTCTACTGTAATAGGGAGTCAAAGGGATACAATCCAAGTAGTTATACCACCCAATGTGACCAGGATCTCTGGCTTCAACAAGGGAGCCTCTTGTCCCGTCCTAAACCAAAGACTGACTCAGTATAAAGTTCCTGACTGAGATGGGCGTGACAGCACAGTTCCTGTAATCTGTGGTTCGCCGCAGCCATGGCTACACAAATAGCTGTGTGGAGAAAACACACTGCTAAGGTACTCTTCAGTCGGCACATCAAGTCACACAGCTCTCCTTAGCCAATCAGTACGGGAGGAGACGTGAGGGCAAACGAATTCCTTTCAGAAATCCCCACAGTTCACTGAGCATACAGTCATGTAATGTTCCTCCCTCCCAACATTCCTCCTTAAACGACAACCTTTTAAGCCTCATGCCCCTATTGTCTATAACAGATTTCCCTCTTACATTTTTCCTTGTCCATAAAACAGTATCCTCCTCACCCCACCCTAAAGAGCACTCTAAGTCCTTAGAGACAAACACAGTGGAAAGAAGATGTTGGCCAACACTAACAGGTAGGATGATTCATGACCACGAGTGCTCTTTACAGCAGTCAAAACTTCCCCAAACGTCCCTTATGCCTTGTACCTCTGCCACATTCTCCCACACACAGTCCCTCTCGAATATTATGTTTGGAAATAGTGTGACAATCCTAAACCTCTGCCGGTATTATTGCTGTCAAAACAAAGAAAAACATGTCCAAATACCTTTCACTGTTTTCTCTACATTCATTCCTGTAAATCCTTCTACACCTGACCTAGTTCGCCAGAAAAATGCACTGCTTTTTATTTTTGTTTGTGAGATGTTTGAAATCACAATTAACATTCATGTCTGTGAGGTGTTTGAAATCACAATTAACATTCATGTCTGTGAGGTGTATGAAATCACAATTAACATTCATGTCTGTGAGGTGTTTGAAATCACAATTAACATTCCTGTGCACTGTGTGCAGTCATTTCTCAAACCCAGCCAGGGTGGTGGTTAGGCCTTGCGCTTCTGTAAATACAGCTGCTGTTGAAAACTAACACCCAACATTCCAACAGGTAGGGGGTTGGGATGTGCAGGAAGATGCATTATGTGAAGCCTGGCTGTAGTCTTACCTTGGCAGGAGTCTCCGACAGCTTCATAGCCTGCGCGGCATTGGCACTGTCCCACAGGAACCACCCACTCTCCCTCAGCGGTGCAGTAGATGCGTGGGGTGGCCTGGCTCACAGCGTTCTCCACACATGTTCCCTCCACCTCCCTCAGGGCATCTGCCACCGTCTCTGGAAAGGCGGCCAGGCTCTGCACGGTGGACGGACACGTCTTATAGTACACCCTCACCGAGAGCAGTGCCACACACGCTCCCATGTCCTGGAAGGCCAGGTAGAAGCCCTTCTTGGACAGAGGGCCCACTGTCCGTGTCTCCACGTTTACCTTCAGCGCACCGCGGCCCCGTGTGATTTCATCCGGCGCGATGGTGGCCACTTTGCGGAACTGGCCCTTATGGAAGCTGGTGCCCACGTCGGCATCGGCCTCGAACATGTGCAGGTTGAAGGTCTCTTTACAGGCGAGCGAGGCGCCGTCGAAGGTGTTGCAGTCCCGCACGACGAAGTGGAGCTCCACAGAGACGCGGGTGGTCCCTGGGCGCCCCTGGATGAAGGTGGTTCGCAGCCAGTTGTCCTGCTCACCCGCGTCGATGTTACACACACTGTAAGTGTAGAGGAGGGAGCCATTCACCACTGTCTGGACTATCTCCCACTGAAACAGAGAGAGAACAGAGGTTTAGTTTACACAATGTACAGGGCAAGACACAACAAGTGAAGGAAGGAGAGAGAGGGTTTTAAGAGAATGAGAGTAAGATTAAGGGGATTATGTTCTCGTCACCTATATATATATCAAAGACAAGGACAAATGCATTATTAAAAATCAAAGACAAGGACAAGTGCATTATTAAAACATCCACTCCAAAGTCAAATTTAAATGTGTTTCATAAGTTTGAGGAAGTTTGGTGAGAATAGACAAAACATCATAAAATAGGGGGGAATCCTACCCAATACATAGAGAATGAATTGGAAGATCTGTAAACTTCACGGTCACAAAAGAAAAGCAGTCAGCGCACTGACGCTGACCACGTCCTGTTGCTTTTTTTAGACAGTCAACCACACAACTATAGATAGAGGGATGCCTCTCTCCCCCTCCAACCCGTCTCTCTTTCTTTCTACCTCCCTCAGTCTTATGTTCTACTTTGACTGACAAGAACCTCCCAAATGTATATCACTACAACAACAACAAAAGGTTTTTGTGGAATAGTGTTGGAATGATAACAACCTGTTGGCTATTTTCAGTTAGAAAATGTACTTTTGTCCTGTAAATTCAGATGCAGCTCTTACGCTGACATTTTTATGACATTCATAGTTGTATTATGAAAGGGTTGCTCTAAAACCAGTGTAGGCTAGCTTTGCCAAAACTTTGCGAGCTGCCAGTCATTCCATCTTTCCCAGAAAACTGTTCTGAAGGAATGAGAGCAGAGAGAATGTCTTGCATGCTATTCGTCTGGAAAGCACGTGACCTTTTAAAAATCTGCAACTTAAAATGTGGCTTGGAATCTCCATTGTGGGACATCTAGCCTACGTTTCACACCATCTGGTGTATCATGTGTAGACCATCCATCTGGTTAGACTACTACAATCCTTATATTTTCTCACTACATGGTATGGTAACTACTCACCCCTTCTTCATATGGCCAGGTCAACCATCCCAACTCGCCTCCTGAAGCTTTCATATCCAGCAGCTCCTCTACAGAGAGATAATTATAGAGCACTATTAGTAAACATTCTTAATTCATATGAGGAGCCGTTTCATTAGAAAATATTAGGCATTTGGTCTTATGTGTTATAAGAAATTGAACATGTGTAATAAGCGATGAACAAGTAATACTACTCTATAAGTAAACTGGATTATCAACGTTACTTTGTTTCTCTGAGCCAACAATTATTACAGTAACCTGCTAGAAATAGCCAGAACTAGTTTCACAGAATAGGTCCAATATCATGCCATCCACGGCTTTGAAGAGGACATGCCCTGGCATGACAAATCTGATCAAATAAGCAATGTCCATTTAAATAAACTATGAATTACCATGTCCTTCTACCCCCGTGTTTGCATGAAGAAGGCTGAGAAACGTGTGGGAAGTTAAATAGCATGATAAAGGGAGTGAAAATTGTTGGGAACATCCCTAAGAACCCATGCAAGTCAGACACAGACTACACTCCCATCCCTTCTCACTTCAGTACAAGACCCTGTCCACTCCAATATTGAAACTAAAAGCTTCTAATAACTTATAACCATGTGAAGTAATATTCCTTCCTTTAATCATGATCAAATACCAACATTACCTAGTTGTATAAATTAAGGATACCGAGAAGTATCATTACTGCATGTTTGAAGTAGCAAAGCTAGCCTACAATTTACTGTCTTTCTTTTCTTTAAGTTAGGCAAATTATTTTTGTTGTTGTTGACAATTTACAATCATATTCATCAAGAAAGAAACTGAACAGTACATGAACAAGCCCATGGAATTGTATGAGGGGTCTTTCCCCATTTTGACAAGTTAGTTATCATAACTATACATTGAACAGGAAATACAAATATCGGAGGAAAAAGACTGTAAAAAAGAAAGAAAAAAGAAGACTGTATTAACACTGTAATATAGACAATTTTGCAAGAATATTACAAGAACTTCAAGAATGCCATGTCACAGACAAATCCCCCAACTCATAAAACACAAAGCACAGCTCTTTACAATCGCATTTTAAAACGAAAAATAAGAGTACTTACGTTCTTTCGCTTGAAGAGTAATAAATACATGGTTAATAAATACATACAAAAACAAAGAATAAAAACTAACACGACGGGAATCCATTTTTGTAATTTTTGACAGGAATTCCTCTCTGAGCTGATCTCGTAATATCGCCGAACTTCTGTGAGCACTACCGGTGTCAACTGCCCTTCCTTTCAGCCGAAAGTTCCATTGAGAAACAGGTGGCACGATGAGCTCCGCCTTTGGAATGTGGGCCCAATCCATATATGGTATGCGGTAGGGATAGGGTCAAGTCATAAGACTATACTACCTGTGCAGTGCGGATGTATATTATTATTATTATTATTTTGTCATTTAGCAGACGCTCTTATCCAGAGCGACTTACAGTTAGTGAGTGCATACATTTTTTCATACTGGGCCCCCGTGGGAAACGAACCCACAACCCTGGCGTTGCAAGCGCCATGCTCTACCAACTGAGCTACACACACACACATATCTAGTCCCCTGCCCCAGAAAAGTTGATTGAATATTGATTATATTTGTATTATATTCTTATATCCTTATCATTAGTAATAATATGATTTATAACGTGACATTTTGTCTTCTCACCTACTACTAGTACTACTTCGGTAAGAGAGAAAATGAGAGTGAAGAAACCAGTGGTTTTTACTTCTGGTCATCTTGAGGTGTTAGGATTCTGAAAAATGAGCAAGCTGGAGTCCTTATCTTGTTGGACAGTCTCACAAGTAGCTGGAAGCATCTTCCACAATCCATCTTATTTAAAACGGGTCTTTCCCACGCTAGGAAAGGGAGGGGTCAAGTGGAGGGGTGGGCTGGTATGAATATATGACTACTAATGAGATGGTCTTCACAAAGAACCTCAGAATTTTGGTATGAATATGGGGACACAAAAAAGGCATGAACAATGGCATCACCTAGCAACTCTCATCTGAAGGAATTTCAGAGTCAAGTCCTCTTTGTGGAGCAGTGTGTACTTGGACAGGAGATCCACTTGAGCTGAGATCCAAACATAGACAGCCATCCTCAAAAAGACACAGAAAAATCAACTGAAGAAGACAGAAATTGTCTTGACTTATGTTACCATACATTGACATTAATCATACAACAGACGGAAGGAACGTTGTTGGTTAAAAATTGATTAACAAGTTAAGTGTGCATTGGACTATACAGTGCATTCGGAAAGTATTCAGACCCCTTGATTTTTCCACATTTTGTTACATTACAGCCTTATTCTGAAATTGATTAAATCGTTTTTTTCCTTCATCAATCTACACACAATACCCTATAATGACAAAGCAAAAACAGGTTTTTAGATTATTTTGCAAATGTATATAAAAAAAAAAACGGTAATATCACATTTACATAAGTATTCAGACCCTTTACTCAGTACTTTGTTGAAGCACCTTTGGCAGCGATTACAGCCTTGAGTCTTCTTCGGTATGACACTACAAACTTGGCACACCTGTATTTGGGGAGTTTCTCCCATTCTTCTCTGCAGATCCTCTCAAGCTCTGTCAGGTTGGATGGGGAGCGTCGCTGCACAGCTATTTGCAGGTCTCTCCAGAGATGTTAGATTGGGTTCAAGTCCGGGCTCTGGCTGGGCCACTCAAGGACATTCAGAGACTTGCCCCGAAGCCACTCCTTCGTTGTCTTGGCTGTGTGCTTAGAGTCGTTATCCTGTTGGAAGGTGAACCTTCGTCCCAGTCTGAGGTCCTGAGTGCTCTGGAGCAGGTTTTCATCAAGGATCTCTCTGTACTTTGCTCCATTCATCTTTCCCTCGATCCTCACTAGTCTCCCAGACCCTGCCGCTGAAAAACATCCCCACAGCATGATGCTACCACCACCATGCTTCACCGTAGGGATGGTGCCTGGTTTCCTCCAGACATGACGCTTGGCATTCAGGCCAAAGAGTTCAGTCTTGGTTTCATCAGACCAGAGAATCTTGTTTCTCATGGTCTGAGAGTCCTTTAGGTGCCTTTTGGCAAACTCCAAGCGGGCTGTCATGTGCGTTTTACTGAGGAGTTTCTTCTGTCTGACCAGTCTACCATAAAGGCCTGATTGGTAGAGTGCTGCAGAGATGGTTGTCCTTCTGGAAGGTTCTCCCATCTCCACAGAGGAACTCTGGAGCTCTATCAGAGTGACCATCGGGTTCTTGGTCACCTCCCTGACCAAGGCCCTTCTCCCCCGATTGCTCAGTTTGGCCGGGCGGCCAGCTCTAGGAAGAGTCTTGGTGGTTCCAAACTTCTTCCATTTAAGAATGATGGAGGCCACTGTGTTTGTCACGATCGTCTACAACAGGAGACCAATGCGCAGCGTTGTGAGTGAACATGATGACTTTATTATTAAAGCAACCACGAAAAACAACAAAAAGACGATACGTGAAGTTCTCTATGACACCGACTGAACATAGCACAAGGAAACAAAAACCCACAAACACAAGGTGAAAAACACACAGAATATATATGGCTCCCAATCAGAGATAACGAGCCGACAGCTGACACTCGTTACCTCCGATTGGGAGTCATTAACCAATCACCACTAAACACAAACAAAATGAAACTCACCCAAACCCAACCCCACCAAATGAAATACACCCTGGCTCTAACACACAGTCCCGGAGCCAGAGTGTGACAGTACCCCCCCCCAAAGGCGCGGACTCCGACCGCGCCTAACCCAAAAAATGGGGAGGGCTGGGTAGGTGTTACTCCACGGAGGCGGCTCTGGCACTGGTCGTGATCCCCACCCCACCATAGTCACTACCCACTTAAGTAGCCTCCTCCAATCGACCACCCTACAACCTAACCCCACTGGATTAAGGGGCAGCACCGGACTAAGAGGCAGCACTGGACTAAGGGGCAGCACCGGACTAAGGAGCAGCACCGAGCTAAGGGGCAGCACCGGACTAAGGGGCAGCACCAGGATAAGGGACAGCACCAGGATAAGGAGCAACACCGAGCTAAGGGGCAGCACCGGACTAAATGGCGGATCCTGGCTGGCTGGCTCTGGCGGATCCTGGCTGGCTGGCGGATCCTGGCTGGACGGCTCTGGCGGATCCCGGCTAGACGGCTCTGGCGGATCCCGGCTGGACGGCTCTGGCGGATCCCGGCTGGACGGCTCTGGCGGATCCCGGCTGGACGGCTCTGGCGGATCCCGGCTGGACGGCTCTGGCGGATCCCGGCTGGACGGCTCTGGCGGATCCCGGCTGGACGTCTCTGGCGGATCCCGGCTGGACGGCTCTGGCGGATCCCGGCTGGACGGCTCTGGCGGATCCCGGCTGGACGGCTCTGGCGGATCCTGGCTGGACGGCTCATGGCTGGCTGACGGATCTGGCTGCTCATGGCTGGCTGACGGATCTGGCTGCTCATGGCTAGCTGACGGATCTGGCTGCTCATGGCTGGCTGACGGATCTGGCTGCTCATGGCTGGCTGACGGATCTGGCTGCTCATGGCTGGCTGACGGATCTGGCTGCTCATGGCTGGCTGACGGATCTGGCTGCTCATGGCTGGCTGACGGATCTGGCTGCTCATGGCTGGCTGACGGATCTGGCTGCTCATAGCCGACTGACGGATCAGGCTGATCCTGTCTGGCGGAAGGCTCTGGCTGATCCTGTCTGGCAGAAGGCTCTGGCTGATCCTGTCTGGCAGAAGGCTCTGGCTGATCCTGTCTGGCAGAAGGCTCTGGCTGATCCTGTCTGGCGGAAAGCTCTGGCTGATCCTGTCTGGCGGACGGCTCTAGCGGCTCCGGTCTGGCGGACGGCTCTGATGGCTCATGGCAGACGGGCGGCTTTGCAGGCTTTGGGCAGACGGGCAGTTCAGGCCCCGTTGGGCAGACGGCAGACTCTGGCCGTCTGAGGCGCATCGTAGGCCTGGTGCGTGGTGCCGGAACAGGAGGTACCGGGCTGAGGACACGCATCTCAGGGCTAGTGCGGGAAGCAGCAACAG